ATTCTAGGATAGAGAGAAAGAACATATGATCACAGGGAGTTTGCAGGTGGTATTCATAAAGACCAAGTTAATCTGAACTTTACTGAACATTTATCCATTACCTAATCTGTTAATTTCTACATAAAATTGTTTCTGGTGAAATTGGATCCTCTGAAGCTATGCTTCCCAACTAGATATTGAGTCTTCCCTTCAAAAAGTAAGAGCCAGTTTATACACATTAGAATCCATTAGAATCCCACACTAATTTTTCCTGTGTGATTTAAACACACACACACACACACACACACACACACACACACACACACACAAGCACATTTTATTGTCTGGGTTTTTCTAACAACAACAACAAACAAGATTTTTTTAAAAAAATTTTTACTAGATTTGTCCAAAATCCAAAAATTAACGTAACATGTGAACTTAGCAAATTCACTGACATGTTTCTTTTGAGTATCCAGCATAGGAGATAAAAGTATATTGTTGATGCTGTACCTAAAAGATATAATTAAATGTCCCCTTTGTTTAACGTAAGACTGGATTGCAGGCTTTCAACTTCCATGTGCCAAATTTAATGTCAAACCACACAGCTCCGCTTCCTGTTTCAGCCTCCAGCAAGACCTCGTTGGTGGTTGATGACACCAGAAGGAGAGTCTGATGATAGTGCCCCCTTACTTTAAGAGCATTTGCTTTGTATAGCTGTCTGTGGACCCCATGGTCCAGAGGTGTGTGCAGAAATCACCAGTGGAAGGACACATGCTAGTGGTGTTGACAAATTGATTAATTATAAATCAAATTAATCAGGAAAAATAAAACTAAGTCAGGTAAAAACTCTTACAGTTTTGAGGCTGTATTCCAGTATAGAAGACTTTTTTGAAAGTAATGTCTTGATAAATTTTTTTTGAGAATTTCATATAGAAATCATATTATCTTTCTTTTCAACTCCTTACAGATCCTCCGCCAGGTCCTCCACCCACCCAATTATGTGGTCTGCCCTCACACAACTCATGGAGTTGAACAAAATCTGTTGAAATTTCTTAGAGCCTAATATGATTCAACTTTTATTAATTGATTTACTCGCTTTCATACATTGATTCGTTCATCTTCTGACAAAATTATGTAATTCTAGTATGACTACAGACAATTTCTTTTTCTTTTTTCCTTCCTTTTCTTCCTTCCTTCCTCCCTCCCTCCCTCCCATCTTCTCTCCGTATCCCGCCCTCTCCCCTCTTTCTTTCTTTCTTTCTTTCTTTCTTTCTTTCTTTCCTTTTCACAGGGTCCTGGTCCTTTTTCCTTGAGGCAGGATCTCATTCTGGCCTGGAACTTACTATATAAAACAGGGTAGCCTTGAACTTCTGCCTTTATCTCTTAAGTGCTGGGACTACCAGTATGTGCCACAAAGCCTAGTTTTCATTGGTTTTTTTTGTTTGCTTTAACTCATGTTTTTTATGGGGTCAGAAAATGCAGAATGTTTGTCAGGGCATTTGCTTTTTTTAAACATGGTCAATTGTGATCCAATTCTTAGGTTTGGGTTTACATTTTCAATTCACCGCATTTATGAATTCTTTATATTGAAGATTCCGTTATTTATCTGTATTCTTAGCTTGATGTTGTGAGTTCAACCATTTTCCAACCTTTGGGGTTTCATTGTTTTGGTTTTGAGAGTTCTCACTCTGTCACACAGGCCCTGGTGCTCCCAAGATCTGTCTCCTGGGAGGGAGGTAGATGTGGCCTCATTGTGCTTTGATGCTTTTGTATTGGGGTAGCAATTGAGGTTGGATAAAAGGAAAGAAACGGAAAGATGCTTCAAATTGGTGTGGAATATGAAAACTACCGTTTTTGAAAGCAGTATTAAAAGCCACATTCTCATTTTTCTTTTTCTTGCTCTTGACCTCACGGCAGTAAAGCTTACACGACCACGGTAGACACACACAGTGGTGTTCATTCATTCTGTAAAGGGCACAAATGAGTATATAGGTCTATCAGAGATGTGCAGAGTCCCTAAGGGAGGTGTGCTGAGTGAGTCTTGTCTTTTTTCCAGGCTTGAAGAACACAGATACTTTCTTTTTTAATGATTCCACCTTGTGAAGTCTGTCAGAGTGAAGGCTGGAGGCAAGTGATGCCTCTGATGGCCCATGCTGGGGCTCTGATTTAATCATCAGGAGAGGGTCCCGGATGTTTCCTAACATTCGAGAAACCCACGGAAATCTCCATTAGACTGAATTTTGAGTGTTTCAAGGCCTTTGATATCCTCAGCTTTTCGATCGTTCTCTTTACAGTGCTGTTTATAATATTAAAGCAACCAACAGCACAGGTGTGCATTGTCACCCCTTGTGTGCTGGGGGCAACACTAGTCCTACTGCACATTTTTATGGTGTTAGTCCTACCCAGGTCACAGCTGGTGTCTGCCCTCTCCCACATTGCCAGTCTCACAGCCATCTCCAAACAGGGTCGTTAATTTAGCCTTGGGGAAAGGGTAACAAAATAGGTTCATCCAAATGGGTTAAGAACACCATGCTAAAAAACAATTTGTCTAAAGAGCCACTGGTTTTCTAAACACATAAGCCACAAATTGTCAGAAGTATTTATGGAAATAACCCCAGTGAGTACATTAAACACTTCCCCTGGCTGCTACAATTATGGCTCCTAAGGATAATTTCTTAAGGGTATTGTTTTAACGATAACTCCAGAGGGTGCTGCTTCACCTGCTGTCAGTCAGTGACAGTTGAGGGCTTCTGACCTGGAGACAGAATTTGGTTTTATATGGGGATCTTCTCTGTTTTGAGATTATTTAAGCTTAGAGTTATGAAGCAGAGCAACATCTTTCAATCAAAGTTACAAACTGTCTCCACTGCCAGGAATACAAGGAAGTTGCGGTAAATAATTTGCAAGAATATATAAATAAGTATTTAAGTTACATACACGTGGCATTTGCTTTCTGGAAATTTTCTCTGAGAAGGTGAAATAAGAGAAAAGAAGGAAGGAACCCGAGAAGCTTGCCACCAGCCTGACAAAAGCCTGTCAGCTGTCCACCCCACAAAATTAATAAAATGGTTTTTGTTGTTGTTTTAAAGAAAAGAGAGTAGGTAGGAAAGTTGAATTTTCACAGCAAAACCGTTCACTTACTGTCTAAACTTTGAGTCTCTTTGTTGCCTCGTCCAGGTTTGTCCACAGGTGTATCTATCCTATCTAGAAAGTGCTGGCACATTGTAGGCCCTCTGTCCGCATTCATTATGGAAATAAACCTACAGGATGAGAAGCATCATACCAGGCTTCCTGTAAATGTGCACCGATGTAATCTTGCTGTCTGAGGCCTTCTCATACACCATCTGCTATTCTTCATGAGCATCCATGCTTTCCCACGGCTTCCATAAAAATGCCCCATGAAGAGGGTGACTGAGAACCACACAAATCTCTTTTCTTACAATTCTGGAAGTCAAATTGCTGGCTAGGTGGCAGCCCCTCTGAAACTCACAAGCAAGAGTTCTTTCTTGCATATTCTTACTTCTGGTGGCATCTTTGACTGTTGGAGGTGTAGCTGTCCTGCTGGGTTGGGGGAACTAATGGTTTCATTTTTATCTGTCTATATCTGTAAGGATCCCGTTTCCAAAAGGATTATATTCTAGGGGACTTCAACACATCTGAGTGGAAAGGGCATAGGTGTCAGACCTGGAGCAGAATGAATGTATTTCCTCTGAGTGATGTTCTTCCCTTCCAGATCATAAGCCAACTTATCATATGACATAAAATTTGGAGTTTTTAGGTTTAAGCTTACTTAGTACATTAATTACATTCAACAGAGTCACTTGGACTCCCTAAGTCTGGCTTTTCTCCCGTGGAATAAAAGAATTCCTGTCGTCCAGCAGTGGGAGGTCCTGAAGACAGCATATGACTCTCTTGTGCTCAGTCTCAGTGTGTGCACAAATTTTCCTCATGGCTCAGTCCACTCCTCTGTCTCCACAGCTAATAATAGGGTTTCTAATCATCAACATAGAAAAATAGGTAAGGATATGCAAACATTAATTATTTTGATCTGGCAATTCCGTGGTATAACACCCATGTTGTATATGAAAGCGTGCAGATTTTGTTAAATAAAAAATAATATGAAGAGAACATGATCCTGACATATTCTATGGGATTTTTAGTTATCTCAGTATTTGGATTTTAATACAATGTTATTTAAAGGGGAATACTGCTTTACCTAATGAAAGCTATGTTAGATTTAAGTTGTTAAAATCTCTATACAGTGTCAATAAGCTCTTTTTCATGGACTTTTGATTACTTTGGATTAGTTTATCTTTTCAGTGTTATGAGCAATGCATTTCTATTGGCATGTGACAATAGTGCATATTCACAGTGCACAGCCAGCTCTTTCAATACATTTATCTATATAGGATGCAATTATCCATTGACTATAAATAGCATTTCCATAAGTATTTGTTATTTCTTTGTCTTGGAACCCTTTAGTGCCTTTATTCTTATTCTTTATAAAATATTAAATACGTTTTCGTGCCCTTTAACCACCTTATTTTCTGCACAATAAGTGCTCTTTTCATTTATTTGATAGTTTATTTTTTTTTTTTATTTAAGACATACTCTTAAAAATGAAGCCCAAGGTATGGAGGGTTACATGTTCGGACTTTTCTGATCATAATATAACAGTACCTGTGTGAAATCCAGGAAACCAAAGCTCAAGGGATTCAAGGAAATGAGGAATTAAATTCTGCTGCTAATTCCAAAAATAACTGGCAACTCTCCAGAAGTTTGCTTCAACAGCCATTACAGAAACATTTAAAATCTACTCTACTGCGCCTAGAAAAAAGAAAAAAAGAATGTAAGAAAGGAAATCAAAAGGCCCTTTTGCCAACTCAGGGATTCAGTACTTTTTGAGCCGGCAAGGCTCCAAACATTCTGGTCCTCAACAGACTCAGGATCCAGGATGTTTTGTTGGTTTCACAGGGGCGCTGCTGCCCTGGGCTTCACTGACCCGCTTCTTTCTCTTCCAGCTTCCTCCATCCTCAAAAGAGAGAAACGGCTGAGGACAAAGAATGTGCATTTCAGCTGTGTCACCGTGTACTACTTCACCAGGAGACAGGGCTTCACCAGCGTGCCCAGCCAGGGGGGCAGCACGCTGGGCATGTCCAGTCGTCACAACAGCGTGCGCCAGTACACCCTGGGCGAGTTTGCAAGGGAGCAGGAACGGCTGCACCGGGAGATGCTGAGAGAACACCTCAGGGAGGAGAAGCTCAACTCTCTAAAGCTAAAGGTGAAATTTCAGTTCATTTTTTTGCAAAGATCTTATGTTCTCACATCATCTGAGCTAACCATTTTTATTCACAGGCCAGACTGTGTTTTGCATGCCGGACATTTGTCCACAGGGTCTTTTCCTTCTGTTTCCATTCTTTTCTTTCTTCTTTTTATACAGCAGTAAGTATACTGTATTCATGGGGTGCTTATCTGACATTATTCATCCATTCTAAGAATACTTACTATTGGCTATTGCTACATCATACACACCTTTATAAGAGTGTGCTTGGACTGGGGCCAGCAGGAAACTAAACACAGTTATGGTTTCCTGTCTATGGGAACTTGATTTCAGTAGGAGAGAAAAATATCAGTCAAGTGGTCAAAGGAAATTGAATCGAAATTTCATTCAGGGCTATGCAAGGAAGTTGTAAGCTGTTATGAAAGTCTTTGACGGGAAACAGATGTGGACAGGAAGTCAAGAAATGTGCCTGAGAGAAGTGACAGGAAGATCTGAGATAGTGGCTAGGCACAGAAGATGGCATGGGGTGTCTGCTGGACCTGAGGCAGGGGAGTTACATGAAGGAGGCTCAGGTGCCACATTAAAGTGTTTGTCTCTCTTCATCCTCAGGGACTCAGAAGCTATCCTAAGTCTTAAGCACAGGTTGCAGCTGTTATGACAGTCACGTAATTATGTGATAAGAGTTTGAGGGTGTAGAAGGCCATGGTAAGAGAGAAGCGGTGTCCTCTCAGACCAGGAAAGGGGCTCTTAGAGCTGGCCCAGAGAGAAGCGAGTGCAGGGTAAATCGGACTGAACATAAGGAGAGGAAAAGAAATGTTCAAGAGGAGACAGGAAATGTTCATGAGGAGACAGGAAATGTTCAAGAGGAGACAGGAAATGTTCATGAGGAGACAGGAAATGTTCAAGAGGAGACAGGAAATGTTCAAGAGGAGACAGGAAATGTTCAAGAGGAGACAGGAAATGTTCAAGAGGAGAGAAGAAGGGCAGTGCTGGGTAGGAGCTGAATTTACAAGGACAGAGGGGATAGTTGGAAACCATGGGGGTCTGGCTGTAGGACGAATGGCTGGAGGTGGTATACTATTGCTTGCCTGCTGTGACATGGCCAAAAAACGTAGGGAAAGCTACATGTTGTGATGAGGGTAGACTTCCGGTATGGGAATTCGAGGACTTTTATGTGGTCAAGAGGTATGGGGACAGCATCTAAGTTGGAGAAAAACAAAATGCAGAAAATGCCTTGATCTATCATTGAGTTATGTCATGTGAAGACAGTAAGTTAAACTGAGTTGGACATAAATCAGTCCCCATGAAGTTCATATTCCTTTTGTCAATATCTTTGGCAAGTTTCACTGAAAATTTTTTTTCATGCTTGTTTTTGTCTTTCTGACTGATTTTTGTGTACTTAATTCGACAATGATTATTAACTTACTTCTGAACTCCAGCCTTTCTCTGAAAACTAACTCTCTTTCCTCTCCAGAGATGACACCATTCTCCAAGTTCAAATAATAGTAAGTCAGTGGTAATGGCTGTCAATCACTAGGTGATTTTTTTTTTTGCTAAGCATTTTATACGTATGATCGAATGAATTCTCATAAAGTCTCAATGGAATAAAATCATCAGAACATAGCAGAGATTTTAAAAAAAAAAAGTCCACAGGCAGCAAAAAACACTCACCAAGTAGAAAACTAGTTGATATTATTTAGGTCCTTCTTATTATTAAATTAATTGATTACCAAGTATAGAACCAGGGAAGACACCTGTTCTTTTTTTAGGACTTGGGGGTGTGTGCAATAGATTCTAACAGCTAAGCAACTGTAAACCATCTGAAAGCCAGAAGATTTATAATGATGGCCGTGCATGCGTTTCTTTGAAGGAACCACAAGCCGCAGCAGCGTTCCCTTCATGAGGCGGAGAGCTACTCTCATGCTGCAATTCTTACACCTCTTTCTGTAGATGAACATATAAAGTGGTCCCACATTAGCTCAGAATGGAGTATGATAAAGGGTTCTTTATTTAGGGGTAGGTAGACTCACAGATCACAGTCCTTTGCAGGAGCAGGAAACAGAAGCCAGATCCAGCAGGACAGAGAGAGAGGGAGGGGGAGGGAGAGAGAACCCTGTGGAGCTCTGCGCAGACTTTAATATGCATTTATAGTACAAGAGACCACGCCCAAGTGGGCTGGCTTTTTAAGGCTATTGGCTGAAGGAGTTCCCACTGCATCTTTTCACACTACTTTCTGGCAAGCAGAACAAGAAAAATAGAAATGAGAAAAGCACCATTGGTGACCATTGTGCTTAGGGGAAGGTGTGGACAAGCCAGAGGGTGTCGTGCCAGCAGGTGTCATCCTTCGGGTTTCGTTCTCCTGTGAAAATGTCTGGTCTTTCCTTTGGTTGTAAACGTATGGCATTTGGTGATCATCGCCTCTTCCAAATGAAGGTGAAGCTAACGGGATTCTACAGTGGACTTAGTGCATATGTACTCAGAAACACATGTTACGTGAAGCTAAAACCTGACAGCATATATATCATTAGAGATATATTATAAAGATATATATATATACACACATATATAATATATCGAGATATATTATAAAGTATATGAGAGGGAAAGTCTCTGTGTTTTCACTGAAGTTCTTCTAGCATTAATTTTTAAAGTCATAAATTATACTTTGTCTAAGGTTTAATTATCCCCAAACTTGAATTAACTAGCCCAAAATGATAGCTGTGCCAAAAATTTCACTCATACTAGGAATCTTTCTTTTAAACACATTTGTTTCCAAGGATAAATTCCCTTGTGGGAGAAATGTGGCAGAATTATCTCGGTGGCTTTGGGTGGGAGCATCAGAGAAACCTTCCTTGCTGCAGAAGGGCGGTCCAAAGAGGAGAGAAAGGATTGTTAATGATAAGCTTTGCTGCTGGGCTCGGTGACACACATCCGTGTTCCTAGCACTCCAGAGGCAGAAGCAGGCTTGTCAGCTCCAAGTGGAGTAGGGCTATTAATAAAGCCTTGTTGAGACAGGAGTCGGGGAGGGAGAGGAGGAGAGAGAGAAACGGAGTCCAAATGGATTTTTTCCCTGAGATGGTTTTCTGGGAGTGTCAGTAAACTCCCTGCTGAGTAGCGACAGACAACGTCTGGCACTATGAACCTTCCCCAAACCCTCATGTTGGAGTCACAGTAACACACAGGGCTTTCACTCTCCTTATTTGAAAAGTCAGTGACCTTATGTGGCATTGATTAAGTCCTCATACACAATGCCTCTGAATTTCCCAGGGCATCTGCTGAGTTCCAAACCGAGGTTCTAGTTATACATGCTTCTAGAAGTTTCCTTAAAATAACAAATTGGAAATAAATCAAGAATGGAAATTTAGGTTTTGACTATAAAATTGCTTTTAATTTGGTCATTCATTTCCTGTGTTATGAGTTACATAGATGTCAATAAATTATATAGATATAGACAGGGACTTGTAGGACAAATATAATTTATTGGGGGGTTTCAAGTATGTCTTTCTTGTTGGCACCATGGATGTTTCACACATCGACCATAAATAAGTAATGGAGAAAACTAATTGAATAAAATGCGTGTTTCTAGGAGAAATAAGTAGCTTTAGGTTTCTAAATTACAGAGAACAGTGTTCCCTTTCCTGTCAAGCCCATTCAGATGTCACACACTTCATGGTAATCAATACAGTCATTGTAATACTATGCTCCTTTGCAAATTAAGTGCTTAGATTTAGTAATCTGCAGCACACAGTAGAACAATTGCATTGGCCTTTCTTCCCATCTCTCTTGTTTCTGGGAAACGCATTCAGCGGCTCTTTGCCGGTTCCACAGAGTCGTGTTGTCCTAGCTGCCTCTGTTTTCATCCTAGAGGACTCTACTGCATTATTCTGAGAAACCAAGTGTAGCTTGTGCATATGTGACCTTTCTCTCCTTGCCAGTGTTTCTACAATCAAATCGTTCTTCCTTTACTTCCCGGGGTCAAAGCTCCAGTCTTCCACTTTTGGTTACCATCTCTAGCTGCTCTCCTGAATTATATACCCATCTCAATTTCTTCTGTGTCTTCATGGGTCGTGCTTGGTTACTGGCTCCTCTTTCCAAACTTGAAGCAAAGAGAGTAGCTAGCTTTTAATTATGAAACCCCTAAAAAAAATATCTACAACAATCTTATTCACTCAAGATCTCTGAGTGCTGAATACTCTGGTCATTCAGTGGCTTATTCACGCAACCTTCCCCATCACCTCTAGGTCAGCTCTCTACATCTCTTTAACAGCCTTGGGATTAATGATCCAGGGAAAGAATTTAGATGTTCTTAGAAATACACGAAATAAATCCACCTGGAAGGGATGGGTGAAATATCTCTCAAACCCCATAATTTCAACATTTTTAGCTTTGGTTTTAATTTTCTTTCTTATGCTGCAGCTTCTCTTTAGATATAGTTTATTGTGTTGGTCGTGGTGCTGCTGAGAGCTAATTACTGTACAGATCCTCCCTGTTAAGCTCTGCAGAGATTGCTTCAGAACATACTAAGTAGCAAAGCTCTTATAATGCATCTTAAACAGAGGCATGTTTCAGCACCAAATGGAAAACATTGCTGTGCCAAGTACCTGCTCTGTCTTGTGCACATATACACAGCCTATTTTGACAAGGACAGAGAAAATTTACCTAAGCAAAGTGATAGAGACTGACAGGGTGGGTTTCTACCCTGTGTGTGTAATGTATTTAAGAATATGTTCTTTCAAAATATTGCAGTATTTTAGCTGACAGGGAACAATTAAGCATATGTAATCAAATCTTTAGGGTCTTCCTGTGCAAGAAATGTTACTTTTTGGATCTAGGAAAAATACTGTATTTTATGTGGGGTGCACCAAGTGATGTTGCTCACTGGAATGAATTGTTTTCATTCTTCCCCGCTTCTCAAAATTAGCTAGGAAGGGAATAGTGAAGACTCAGAACTTGTTAACCACGAGCAACGATAACTATGTCTTAACAGTGTCAAATGCTTA